CTAGAGACTTAACCCTTTGAGAGGAGGAATGGTCATGGCCTCCTGCACATGCCTCTGGGACTACATAGGTTAATTAATTCAGTTCCCATGGTCCCTTGCTGCCTGAGAAGGCTGGATATTTATGTATTATTTATTTTGCGAGAAAGGCAGTGCTTTAATTAATGTGAGATCACTTAGAGCAGGGATAGCCAAAAAGCAGACCACTAGCTGTGGCAAAGCTACAACCACTACATTTTGGCAAAGCTTCATGGGAATTTGAATTCTTCAATATCTTGATGAGGGCTAACATTTTGTTATTGCCGATTTAGAGGAAAGGCCATTAGCAACCTTCTGACAAATGTATTTCTATATTTGTGTCTGCTAGTTGTACTTCTAAACCCTGCAATCTGCTGAAGCCTCATTCACATACTTTGGCTTACGTTTAATACTTTCCAAATGATTTCTCTACACAAGCCACCAGTAAAGTGAATTGGAATGTCTGTAGAAAAATCACTTTTTTTCTAACAGTATTGAATCATTTGGAAAGCTTATTAAATCGAGGCCTTAGTTTGCAGACCTAGAGATACCTAGAAATGCATTACTAATTTAGCAATCTCTGTGACCCCACAATTTCTTCACGGGCAGCTTAATCTACATTGTAGCATTGCCTTATTGTTTTTTTAGGGTTTTTATATTTTCATTATTAGTCAAGTCTTGGAAAAGTGAAAATTGCAATCAGCAATTTGCATTCTGCTGCGGCCAGACTTGCAATTAAGGTCCAATTATTACCTGTCCACTAAAATTTCACATAGTGTTTTTACCTGTCACATGAATGTTTGATAATTCCGAGACAAATACTATAACTATGGCAGTCTCTGAAATCGAGGAGTCATGGGCCATTATCATTTTAGTGGGTACTCTGTTCAAAATACATACATAGTTAGGGTATTCTTGGTAAGTTTAGGGACACTTATGTTGACTCATTTTGTTCCCTAGCATTAAACCTGAGAGGTAGGGGACTAGCACTGCTTATTCTAGGATGATTGGACAACCATTGTAGTAAACTGGAACTGTTTGAGTAAATATGGCACAAGATCCCCTTTTTTAATGGCGATTCAGATTATGTCACTTAACTCCCATCTCACAACCCAGTGGGTCACCTGCATACCCGTGTTCCCCGAAAATAAGACCAGGTCCTATATTCATTTTTCCTTCGAAAAATACACAAGGGCTTATTTTCAGGGGATGTCTTTTTTTTCAGGGAAAAACAGTAGCAAGCAGGTCTCCGTTCGGGGGAATTCCCCCGAACATAGACTAGTTTACTAGGGCATGGATCCCGCAAATCTATGTTCGGGGGAAACGTTACAGAAAATAGATTAACTTACTCACAAATGTAATCGTGCAAATCTGTGATCAGGGAAACTTCCCCAAACATAGATTAGCTTACACATGTATGGAATCCTACGAATCTATGTTCGGGGAAAATTCCCCGAACATAGATTAGCGAACTAGTGACCAGGGCTCATTTTCGGTGTAAGGCTTATATTTCGAGCAACCCCCCAAATAAGTTAGGGCTTATTTCAGGGGATGTCTTACTTTCAGGGAAATAGGGTAGGATATTTACCCTCATATTAAAATCTTGAAATGGGGAGATTCATTTGATTCATATATCACATTTTATTAAAAACAATATTTATTATTAACTATAAATAATAGTTAACTATAATAATATTTGTTTTAATCAGAGTTCATTTGCAAAATACTCTTGACTTAATTCCCTATTTCTTTCTTAGCTAGGTGGCCACAGCTGAAGGCTATTTACATATCTACCTTCTTAAAAGGGACTGACCCTATTTTGGGTCCAAATCCTTCTGTCCCTCTTTGCTATCCTAATGTCATAGAAACATAGAATGTGACGGCAGATAAGAACCAGTCGGCCCATCTAGTCCCTCTTTTCTAAGAGCTTCATATTGTTGGTGTGTCTGAGTTTATAATAGAGCTCCATTGTCATAATGCTCACAGTAATGTGTGGCAATACAGTTTGAAAAGGTACCAAATTATCTTTCGCTCTGAAGCCAATCTAATAATAAAAACATAAGTATTTCATGTACTGCTTTGTGGAATATGCTGGTGCTGTATAAATAATAACAATGTGAATTCCAAAGCACCCGGAAAACCATGTCCTAGTGCTATCAAAATCCTCACCCCATCATAATCATTACTAGACATACCAAACTATTCACACAATGGCAAAGAGCCCCAAGGGCACCATCTACACCATCTATAGCAACCAGATGTAGAGTTACTTATCACCCCATGTAAGACAACCAACCTTGTAAGGTAACAAAGCAATATTCAACACACATACTAAAAATACACACATATTTTCCTACACAAGCCAGTTTAAGAATTATTATACCATGGCAACAAGCACTCAATTATCATTTATCCCAGTTCTAGAAGTACGAAAACATAACTGACCCCATAGCAACCCAGCCAAAGAGCTGCCAAGACATTATTCACCCCAACCAGTTTAAGAATTAATATTGATCACTCATCCTCTCAAATCCTGCTTAAAAAAAATAAAAATAAAAATATATGTGTATATATATATATATATATATATATATATATATATATATAAATATATAAAATAATTGTTCATCTTATGGTAAACAATTTAAGAGTTACCAAGACATTATTCATCACATAGCAACCAGTATAAGCGTTATTAAACTAGTAAACTCCCTATTAGCAACCCGTTTAACGGTCACTGAACCCATTCACTCCATGGCAACCAATTTGTTACTAAACCATCGCCATCATTAATAGAGTCTTAAACATTTTTTTTTATTTTTCTTCCCACATAATTCCATTATGTATGTGTGTGTATGTATGTATGTATGTATGTGTATACATATATATATATATATATATATATATATATATATATATATATAGAGAGAGAGAGAGAGAGAGAGAGATACAGGCAGAAACACATCTATACAAGAGTCAGATAGCTATAGAGACACTGTCTTCACATTTGTATTTGTAAGTGCATAACCCTTTAATCATTGGATGTCATGTGTCCTAAGGGCAAAGCAATATTGACCAGCCCTGGACTTATAGATGTGCTATCAAATCCAGTGACTTTTCATTCATCATATAACTAAGCCTGTCTTAAAAATGTCGACTCCCCTCCCGATTTCATTCCATAGCTTTGAGTTCTTGAGGTGCAATGTCAGTTTTCTGGACCTTGTGTCAATGATTTAGTCCTGACTCAATGACATGTTACTGTAGTCTGGGTGGTTAAAATACATAGTTGCAGCAATTAGTTCTTGTAGACCTATGATATGGAGTTAGCAGGGTCGAGACTGGGTTTATTGTGGACTGAGTGTATAGTTTCGGATTCTGACATATCTAAACTAGGTTTATTTGGGCTGTGTTTATAGTTTCAGAAAATTGTTTGTCTAGACTGGTATTATCATGGGCTGGGTGTATATTTTTACGTCAGTGATGGCTTTTCTAGACTGGGTTTATTGAGGACTGAGTATATCGTTTTGGAACCTGCCATATCTAGAATATCTTAACTGGGTTTATGTTGGCTGGGTGAATTGTTTCAGTAGATGGTTTGTCTAGACTGGGTGTATACTTTAAGATGATAGCTTGTCTAGACTGGGTTTACTTTGGGCTGGATGTATAGTTTTAGATACTTATGTGTCTAGACTGGGTTTATTGGGGGTTGGGTGCATTGTTTCAGAAGATGGTTTGGTTAGCCTGGGTTAATTGTGGGTTTGATGTATAGTTTTACCAACTGATGTTAATTACACTTAAAAGGAAAATGACAGAAAGGATCACTGCTCATAACCCTCAACACTAGGTCTTAATGCTCACAATATATGTACTAACAGTATTTACAAACTGATATGCCTACACTGGTTTTATTGTAGACCGGGTGTATTATTTTAGAAAATGATGTGTCTAGACTGGGTGTATAGTTTCAGAAGATGGTTTGTCAATACTGGGTTTATTGTGTGCTGGGTGTATAGTTTCAGAAGATTACTGGACTAGGCTTATTGTGTGCTCGGTGTATAGTTTCAGAAGATGGTATGTCTAGACTGGTTTTATTGTGTGCTCGGTGTATAGTTTCAGAAGATGGTATGTCTAGACTGGCTTTATTGTGTGCTGGGTGTATAGTTTCAGAAGATGGTATGTCTAGACTGGTTTTATTGTGTGCTGCGTGTATAGTTTCAGAAGATGGTATGTCTGGACTGGTTTTATTGTGTGCTCGGTGTATAGTTTCAGAAGATGGTATGTCTAGACTGGTTTTATTGTGTGCTCGGTGTATAGTTTCAGAAGATGGTATGTCTAGACTGGTTTTATTGTGTGCTGGGTGTATAGTTTCAGAAGATGGTATGTCTAGACTGGTTTTATTGTGTGCTGGGTGTATAGTTTCAGAAGATGGTATGTCTAGACTGGTTTTATTGTGTGCTGGGTGTATAATTTCAGAAGATGGTATGTCTAGACTGGTTTTATTGTGTGCTGGGTGTATAATTTCAGAAGATGGTATGTCTGGACTAGGTTTATTGTGGGCTGGGTGTATAGTTTATAAGCTGCTGTGTCTAGACTGGTCTTAGATGCCACTATGTTTAGACTGGGTTTATTGTAGGCTTGGTGTATATGTTTAGAAACTGCCATCCTAGACTGATTTTAGAAGCTGTTATGTCTAGACTGGGTTTATTGTAGGCTGGGTGTATATTTGTTTAGAAGCTGCTGTCTCTAGACTTGTTTTAGAGGCTGCTGCATCTAGAATGGGTTTATTGTAGACCTGGGTGTATATCTTTAAAATCTAACATCTACACTGGTTTTAGAAGCTACTATGTCTAGACTAAGTTTATTGTAGTCTGGGTGTATATTCTTTAAAAGCTGCAACATCTAGACTGCTTATAGAGGCTGTCATAGACTGGGGCTATTGTGCATTTGGTGCAGACTAGAATGGTATAACTAAACTGGGTAATTATGGGCTGGGTCTATATTAGTCAGAATATGACTAGACTAGTTTTTTTGGTGTGCTGCGTTTCAAAAGATAGAATGTCTATATTGGGTTTACTGTTGACTAGATGTACAGTTTCAGAAGACAGCATGACTAAACTGGGTTAATTGTTGGCAGGGTTTTTTAGTTTCAGAAGATGGTATGTCTATATTGGGTTTATTGTAGGCTGGGTGTATAGTTTTAGAAGCTACTGTGTCTAGACTGAGTTTATAGTTTCAGAATATGGTATTACTAGACTGAGTTTATTGTGGGCCAAGTGTATACAGGTAGTTTTAGAAGATAGAATGTCTATATTGGGTTTCTTGTTGGGTGGATGTATAGTTTCAGAAGACAGTATGACTAAAATGGGTTTTCGTTTCAGAAGATGGTATGTCTATATCTGGATTTTTGTTGGCTGGGTGTATAGTTTTAGAATCTACTGTGTCTAGACTGGGCTGGTTACAGAACTCAGTAGCTTTTATACTCAGTTGTCAATCATCCGATAATCACTGCAGCGTTTGGTGAGCGTTTGGATAGCAGCTGCCTCTAGGAACCAGATCTTGCCATGGTAAATATGAATGGCTAAAACGATGGAAGTAAGGATGGTGTGCAGTTTGTGCCTGAATCTTTAATGAAATGCAGTGTTCTGTTTCCTGGCATCTTACACATTCCTACGTGCGTGCCACCTCTTACATAGTTGGTGCCTCTTGAGCCAGATTGGACCAGACCTTGCAAAGCATTAATCTACTACACGTTTGAGATGCCAACTTTACAATTAAATGTTTAAGAAATACATCAGTGTTTCTCATTACTTCTCAGCAAGTATCCATCCACTGTAAATTCAATAATCCTGCATTATACAATATATTTCACTTTATGCACAAGTATCACCATTAGAAAAGCAAAGCCCACCTCTGACAAATATGGAACTAATTCACCAAGAATGATGGTGTCCCAAGCTAGTGTTCCAATGGATAATCTTTGGTTTGCCATATACAGTGAACTACATTTCCCACGATGCTCAGTCAACCTCTTGCCCGGAGTGCTAAAAATGTTAATTAAAAACCATTCAATCTGGGTCACCTTGAAAGCTCTTAGAATCCTGAAACTACAGACATTAAGGTAATTAGCTGGAATTTGACACACAAATCATTAAACCCAATCTGTTGCTACAGTTACTAAAATGGGGAGATATTCCTAAACTGAGAACCAAGATGAATTGACATGAGAATCATGAAATATAAGTCAAATTACCCTACCCATTGTCGATGGTTTTTCTAGCTTGTTCAGTTTGGCCATTTTTTTATGTAATTGCCAGTTCACTGTTTAGTGAATACCGTTCTGGGTCTTACATGCTTACATCAATAAAGTTCAATATTAATCTGAGCCTTTTTTATACACCGGCGTTTATGCTGTTGATCCAAAAGACAGCAGGCTGTCTATACCTGAATATCCTGCTTTGTAAAAAAAAAAAAAAAGCATTCAGACCATTTTTCAAAGATGTCTACTAGGATCGTATAACCCATCACATGACCAGTTTACTCCTAGAGGTCTCAATTAGCTACCATCAACTCTATGACTATTCATATCCTAGAGGTAATAAGTGGTGGATATTGCGTTTCCTTTCACCCCTCTCTCCATCCTTGCAATTAGTCATATATTTGATATAATGTTACATTATCCCTATGACAAGTTCTGAATCTGCCCTAACAGCTTTGTGGCAAGAATCATTATACCGTTTTTTATTTAATTGGCCGATCATCACATTGCCGAACTTTGCACCCAAAGGCTTAAAGCTGCAAGGGGCCCATCCCTAGAGGTGCAAGGTTCCATGTATCAATAGTACTTTGCAGAACAAAAATGACCGTCCAGAAAAAAAAAGAGGTGTCTCCCAGCAACTTGGAATGAGAGGCATCTATAGCACCTGATTACTGGATGCTGTCAGCAGGGAGCGGGGGAAATATGGCTGGGTGGGGAATCATTGGGGGGCCTAAAAAGGAATACTAGAGAAGAGGAGGAGTGTTTGGGGGCCTAAGAGGGAATAGTAAAAGTGGAGGAGCTTTGGGGCCTATGAAAGAAGACCAGAAGGGGAGGAGTATGGGGCCTGCAAGGGAATAGACATTGGGGGGAATATTTGTGGGGCCTGGGAGGGAAACAAGCCGACGACGAATGAAAGAGATAGGGAGTGGAAAGGAACCAACTGAAGAGCGTATGGCCTCCCAATTGAGACAAGGGAGGGATGATGGCAATTTGGGGGATTTTTTTTTTTTTTTCGCGATGATAGAGGGCCTGGATATATATGTGTGTGTGTGTGTATATATATATATATATATATATATATATATATATATATATAAATATATATATATATATATGTAGAATAGATACATGGTAATGAGTTTATTTAGGGGCTGTCTTAAATTTGGCGGGATTCATGGAATTTTGGGCAGTGCATTGGAATGGCTGGGGCACTCGAAGAATTAGGGGTACTGCAGCGTGAGATGCAAAATTAGAGGGAAGTTTAGATGGTGAAAACGCAAGGAGAGAATGAGTGAATGTTGGATAGCTTGCATTATCTTCCCTGGCTCACAAGAGGTTAATTTACGGCACGCCTTTGTCCTGTCACACTGTTTCTGCAGGTTTTGTAAAATTCCTAGCCTTAGTCATGGCCTTTTTTGAAGGGGGTTTATGCTGCAGAACCCAGATGATGCTTTCACATGGCGTCTGGGGCAAGGATAGCAGATTTTCCACTGCGGCATCATGTGTTGCTCTCATTCCTCTGCAGCACAACACACGGTGTTAATAGTGGTGGCTCATGCGAAAAAGGATGACGGCCTCATGTGATGGTTGGGTTAGACCTCTCTAGCTTAGAAACAGTTAATGCAAGTCCCAGGATATACTTGAAAATGAGAGAAATCTCAATGTTTCCTTCCTGGCAAAATATTTTATAGATAAAAAAATAAAGTCAAGTCAATGCACAAACACGTCTTCTCCGGCTGTGAAGCAGTTAATGTTAATGCCCTGCAGGATATTCCCTCGCTGTGTATAGTGCAGTATGCCTGTAGTGTGGAAATGGTTAAAGCTGCATGCTCCTGTCTGGCATGGGAAGGGTTATACATGCTTCCCTTCTCCAGGCCTCTTCTGTGTGAAATAAACAGGGAATGCAATGCTTACCTTCCTGGCAGGGATTCAGCGTGCTGACTGCTTCATTCTCTCTATTCCTCCTCAGGCGTTTTCTCCCTAGTGCTAACTTACTCTCTCATCCCTTCTCTACCTGCTTCCCCCTTCTTGCTCTTTTTTTTATTCTCGCTCCCTCTTCTTCTTCTCTCAGTCATTCACTAGCACTCTGCCTATACTTTTTTATTTTATTTTCTCTCTTCTTCATCCCTCCCTTTTCCATTATTCCCAGTCCCTCAGTTGCCTGTGCTCTCTCTCTCTCTCTCCCTCTCACACTCTTTTTTTCCCTCTCCTGCCTCCCTCCACCCTTGCTGCCCTCTATGTTTCTTCCTTTCTCCATCTCTTCTCTCTCTTTTTCTCCCTCCCTTTGACTTCTCTTTGCTCTCCTCCCACTTCCCTCCCAATATTCCCCTCCCTTTTCCTCCCTCTCTCTCTCTCTCTCTCTCTCTCTCTTTCTCGCTCTGTCTTTTTTTTTTTTACCCTATCTTCCTTCCTCGATCCCTCCCCTCTGCACCTCGGCTCATGCACTCCTCCTTCGCTCCCTTACACATTCTCTTTTCAATATGCAGTCTCTCACCTCCCCCAATGTACTTTATTTCTTTAATTCTTCCCATTGTTCCACTCATATCATTTATTATTCCTTCTCTTTTACTTTTAACTCTTTTACCCCCTTTTTTTAAATTATTTTAGACTATTCTATACAACCCTCTTCTCTGCGTCTTACTGTTTTTCTTTCCTTTAGCCGGTCACGATCTCTGCAAAGAAAGTCTCTAATCTTGCTTCATCACGGTCTCCTCTCTTTATTTTTTTCATATTTTTTTTTGCTAAGCTCACTTAACCCTTGAGGCGCCAGGGTTCGCAGACAGGGCAATGCTCATGCCGAAATATATCTTGCTTTTTAACACTTAGTGGGTGCGATAATGCGTTTGTACCCCCCTCTTTGAAAATACTTGCCTCCTGACATTCAATTGGTTAAAACTGCATCTATCTTCATTAGATGCTTCAGTCTGCTAAACCAGGTCTGGCCGAGACATGTTCCGATAATTTCGAACCAGGCGGTGCCTCTTTCTTCCACAGTAACCCCCTCCTCCTCTCTTCTACCACTGACTTTAAGGTCCTCCCCCCAATCTATATTCCAAGAAAAACCCCCACAATGAATTCAGCGCTTGTTGGACCGTCTGGCGCTGAATATATTCAGAAATAATCGACTTGCAAGCTATCGCCCATTTTTTCAATTATAAGTAAATTATTCTGTAGACTGTAAGCTCGTTTTACAAGGGTCCTCTTCAACCTATCGCTCCTTTAAGTTTTCTTGGAATTGTCCTATTTATAGTTAAATCCCCCCTCTTATAATATTGTAAAGCGCTCTGGAACCTGTTGGCGCTATATAAATGGCAATACTAAATAAATAAAGTTTTTTCTAATGTCTACGTTTAATAAAATCCTCTATTACGTGTTACATATTCAGTGAATAAAATTATACGTGCAGCGAACCAAAGATGGTTTGCATTTTTACCCTCCCGCAAGCTAAGCAAAATAAGACGGAGTGAATGAATCAGGCAGTGCAGAGGTTAAGCTTTCGTCTCTCGCGGGAGGTCACTTTGGGACGCTGAATATCTGTTTCATGTCCCCGCCCTGCTGCAAAATCTTGTCTCTGCCAGGCAGATTAACTCAGGCAGTTAACCCCGTGCCTGCTGGAGCTACTTCACAATGGGGGTTTAGCCGACTGCAGCGCAGCCACCTGCCACTGTGTCTGGGGCACTAAATGAATTGTTACAGGTATTCAACACAATCTGGTAAATTAGAGGAACAAAAGCGTAGTAATGGCTTCTATACCTCATGTACACAAGATTTTTTTTTTCTTTCTTCTTTTTTTTTTTTTTTTGGTAAAATGCCAAAGTACAATATTCTGCATGACAGTGAAAGGCTACAGTTTCTAACTTAAATCGCATTATCTTTTTGTGTCTCGGTGACATTTATTTTTATGAATTCTCACAACTTCCTTACACCCGCCT